AGAGAGAGAGACTGCGGCCCGCTACAATTCCTTAAGTTTCTGAAATATATTTCTCTTGATGTATGCCCATTAGGATCTGCATTGGCGCTCGCATCGTCCATCATAATATGAAAGCGGAAATATGAAGTCTTTTCGCGCCTCAATTCCGACAAAATGGGGCCTTCAAAAGCCAGCAGAACTATTTTGGATGATTTGACTAATCTCACTATGGTATCATTTGCTTGAGCAAGTGATATCAGACATACTGATCATAATATACAAAGCAATGTGCTACTTGTGAAGTTGTTTGTGATCGCTAGAGTACACCTGAACTGCTATTCATGCACTGGTATTCAATGCAAGTCACAAAGAAAAATGAGCCAGTGGAGTACACCAGCACAATGATGGGTGCTAGCTGCCAGCTCCATGTACAACTATGAAAATATATATCACAGTACAGGATGACTGTATAGAAACAGTTTATGCAGAATTGAGAACTGAGCTGAATAGATAACCAGGACAAAACGAACAAAAACGACAATCAAAGGCACAATGCTTCGAAATCAGGCAGTTCATCAAGTTAGCGTACATTGACTACATTGACTACAATGAGTGCATAAACTGATTGCATGGAACAAAGATGCGAGGCGGTGACAGAATTGCTACAGAGTACATGTACTGTTGAAAAAGAGTATGTGCAACTGGAGTGAGTTTGTAATGTACTGGATAGGTTGAATGAACAATATGTCGGAATCTACCCGCGGTTACTTTCCCAGCAACAGCAGCAGCATTGCATGAAGATGTGGTCATCCAAGTAGCTTCACTGTATGCAGGGCAGCTGGTAGCTGCAGTTAAGATGGTGAGTGTTCAATAGTCTCCGGCTTGAAACACAACCTTACAGGGCATTGGCATGGCAACCTGTAGATCAACAGTAAAATACACAGTGGATTCAAACACACAGCATTATTGTGCCCAATGGGAAAGAAAAGATAGTTTGAGGGAGCTGCAACGGGAAAAGCCTGAAGAGAAATACTTGCCTTTGTATTCAAGCCGTTTAGCACATCATAGGACTAATAGAGTAGCATAGCTAGTGACTGGTAATGGATTTTATCATTCGAGCCTCTAGATCCGAAAAGGGGGCTTATGTCGTTTCAAGCAGTACTGAGAAAAATGCATTTGAAAATTGAGTTCCGCATAAAGCGATATTTCACCACGATCTATAAATAAGTGGCACAAAGAGCCAAATGCGCACAGAAGCGCCTTACGTTTAACAGGCACACCAGCTTTCCCGCAAGAGAACCACAAGCATACAAACAGCAACAACGACATCTCCAAACACGTCACCTACTGATAGCCCCAACGTTTCCCTACCAACGTTTCCCTACCCCTCGCTGCCGCTGAGAGCTTATTCAGGACAGCATAGCCGAATGAAAAAGAATGAAAAAAGAAACACACGAACAAAAGTGAGAAGTACAGCAACGTCATTCCTGAAATCTCCATCGAATGTGGGTGTCTCGAATACGGGTGGGTGGGAGGCTTCTGCTCATACTAAGAAAAAATCTTTTTGGCATAACGCCCCCTCCTTTGTATTGGCTTTTGCCATTGGACGGTGAAATAGAATATAGCAGTCCCCTGCAAGTAGCGTATACGAGTGTGCTTGTGTCCGGTGCCGAAGTGTTTGCAAACAGCACTCACCAGCTGGTCAAGATGAAATGCGATAACAAGCATGTTTGACAGCCACCAAAGCACTTCCTCATCAGACAATTAAATTGAAGATCTGCGGACTCCGCCTCCCCTGGCGAACACCAGATAGAGGAAAACACAAGAATCACAGATTAAATGAAATGAGTTTCAGCAGCCCGAGAGTCTGCTTCTAGCACATCATGGTGCACTGAAGAGCCATGCACCAAAATTGGAAAACGTCCCGAGTTGCTACTCTATTCGCAATTATTTCTTGCAAATAAGAATTAATATCGCTATGAGCGTAGTTGGATAACAATTGCAATTAGGTTCCCTTTATAAAGAGCACAGAGCATACCATGAACACCGGGACTGTATACACACGTAATAGTGTGTGCATGTGTGTGCGTGTGTGTGCGCGTGCGTGTGTGTGTGTGTGTGTGGATGTATGACTGTGTGTGCGTGTATGTGTGTGTAGAAAACGGGCACCGACCCCACTTTGCACTGAAATGCTAGATGGATGAAGGTTGGTTCGGATATGCCTTGACCAACAAAATCAAGTCCAGCACGCCTCTCACTACGTAATTCATGCGCACATACCTACAAAAGCAGCATATATACCGAATCAATGTAAAATTCCCGACAAGTAGACAATGGAGGGCCAGCCGACTAGAAGGACAGCAGAGACTACCAAAGTAGCCGTTGAAGTTGAATCCTCTTCTGCACAGTGAAAAATCAGGAAAAAATACCTGAAATCAATTTAAAAATAAAAGGAATAACACTAGGAAGTTCAGCCCGTATCTAAACTACCCTAACACAATTCGCACTTCACACATCCGTGCAAGGAGAGTCATGTGGCGCGTATACATTTGTAAGAAAGTCTGTAAACAACACAGTGAGTGTGACATGTAATCCCCAAATCCAAAGACTGTATTGTTTCACTGAACAAACTCACTCGTGCTGGTTGTGCCTGAAGTGCACACCACTTCCGCTGGTCCTGTGGTTTGTGTTCGTGCTGGAGTTCCTGTTGCATTCATTGTGGCTGGTGTCGTTGGTAGCTGGGGCTGCGGTGTGGGTGTCGTTGGTAGCTGGGGCTGCGGTGTGGGTGTCGTTGGTAGCTGGGGCTGCGATGTGGGCGCCATGGATGAAGTGTCTGGGGGAGGTGTAGTAGGGACATCTATACAGAAAATGAACAGAAACACCAGGCAGTGAGTGGGGAAATGATGGGTGACAGAAGTGGATATTCAACATCGACTTCAGACATACATGTATGCGTTCACCAATTCAATATTCAGATTTTCAACCATCCTAAATTTTGTCCACCAAGCTTCTAAAAAAGCACATTATTTTTAGAATACACTGATCAACACAGAAGAAGTAAATCACAGGTAATTTGTTCTTTTGGTAGGTCGTCCAAGCTCCCACAGTCTCCACAAGCCATTCACTGAGACAATACCAGGGGTAACATCATCTGATTCCTGTTATGCATGAAGCTGTGGCCAAGGGCGCACTGCCTACTTCAAACATGGCCGATATAAAATAAATTGCAAAACACAATTACTTACGTGGGGTAGGACTAGGCATATGCCCTTCAATCCGTAATGGTGTTGTACACCAGTCACACGTTTGGATAACAGGCAGATAATGCACAGCATAGACAAAATACACGCACTTAGGGAAACATCATACGTTTATCACTGTTGTCAGTTCAAAGTTACGGTAATGCTTTGATGAAATTTTTTGAAGTCCATGTACTATATTGAAAATACAGGTCTACCTTTGTCAGTGTGCAGTTACCAGACAAACCTCATTAGACAACGACACAAAATCCCCCTGATAGAACATGTAAATAGTCGTAAATGCAAATCCGGATAAGAGGTAATTCGCTTGTGTAGTGTACACAAACTTCATTGCCATTCCAATCAAAGTTGAGTATTGGTTTGTCAAAAAATGTTGGCGCTATATAGTTCGCTATCCCTGACTAAAAATAAAACTAAGACTTTCTGATATACACACTGTAGACACGCATAGCTGATGTTCAGGTTACCACAGTACAGTATGTACAGGATGCTTGCGGGAATGTAGAAAGGCAAGGCGTGCGGGGCAGGGGTCACACAGCATATTTTCTTTTTGTGGTGAGTGAGTGACTCCTAATCCTGGCTGTGTCAGACGCAGGGCGAGAGGGGAACTACAAAAATAGTACAACTACATGATTGTAGAGGAGACGGTTTCAAATGGGAAATAAGTTGCAAACCGGAACGGACTCAATATTCATTTTCTCTCTTGGTATTTGGATTAGAACACATTATGTCACAGTGAGACTAGGATGTGTTTTACTCCGAGTGACATATGGCTCTGCGGTGACCAGAAGCGCCACACCAAGCAGGTGAGTTTTTGACGTGTCGCTTCGCACTGCGACTCGAGTTTTACGCCTTTGGAAAAATCAACTTCTTGTCGCAGGTAAACAGCGGCTCGCCTCTCGCCAATAAAGCACCTTATACCAATGAAAACTAATGGAAGCACACATAAGGCTTATTGCTACTCTGTACTGGCCGTTGTGGAGCGATAGCAATTACCTAATTTCAAAACTCAGAGTGAATTCGACGTGTACTCAAAACCTTTCCGGTTTGGAGCCACCCCTGATTTTTTGAAGCTAAAAATTGGGCAACTTGGAGGCAATGGGCCAACACAAAGGAGTGGCTCAGTTCGATTGACTCTGGCCTCATAGCAAACTTCAACATGCCAGTTTCCTTCCAAAAACATAATATTATTTCGAGTGAACAATCCACGCTGATGATCGGTTTGGGTGTATACAAATTTGGCTATCAAACCGTTCCGGTATCGAACCGTCGCCTCTACTTGTCCACCGGTGCACCTGTAGACTGTGTAGGTCTACATGATAGCAAAGAGAACACGACGTCGTACAAATGTTCCCAGTCGGTTACTTGCTGTAACATTAAAATTATCATTAATTTTATACTTTTTGGTCCAAGCTTACCGTTTAGAAGTGGCACGACGAGTAGGACGACCATCATCATGATCATAGTAGTGACTGTTCGCGACTTCATTTTTTCCCGATACCTTCAGTACAATCGTAAACGTGAATGACTCGATGGCGAAGAGTCGGCGAAGACCAGCCGGCAACCTTGTCCTTGCTCCAACGTTGCAAACGATGCTTATTCCTGCGGGCACTGGAACGAGACGTTGTCTTGGGCAGCACAGGGTACACGACGACGATAACAGAACGTTACGGACTAACGAGAACGTTGACGACAGGACATCCGAAACGAACGACGGCAAACATCGACGTGTCGAAACTGGAATGATGAGCTAAAGTGCCGGTATTCTGAACTTTATTCTGACTCGATGCGCGCCATTCGACCAGAACTGTACTCCTGCGGTACCATTCTCGCTGAAGGTGTTGGCTGACAAGGTGAAATGCTGCAGGGGACGTGAAAGGAGAAGGTGCCACTGGCACTGCTCCACACCACCAGCTGACAATGTAGACTCTATCATCATTCAACTCAGGATCAATGTTCCCACATGTCCGCTGGATCCCATGGAGGCCGTTCGCTCTCTGATCTCATCATTTCAGATCCATCGTCTTTGACACTTACTATTGCAGACCTATGCGCCAGGACTAGTGCTAGCCTACCCGCGATCCCAGCCCGGCAGCCGTAGATCTAGTAGTGGTAGATCAACGGCAATCCTTTCACTGGTGACCAGTCCACATAACATGCTATAAGACAGATTGAGAAAAGACAGTAGTCCATGGTAGTCAGTAGATCTACATGATTGTACATACCGGTAACAGGTTCCTGCACGAGTACGAGTAGACCTCGAGGGCAGTACCGCGGAATCCAGCGCGCGCCGCGATAGGGGCAAGGGCTGGATGAACAGCGGTACTGACCGAGTATGATTACACTTCGGAGCTTCGGCTTCGAATGTGACAGTGTGTTTGGCCTCAAATCGCTCTAGTTTTCCATAAATTTCCAGCGGTTTAAAGATAAAAATGCAAATGCACGCCTTGATTGCACCTAGCACCTCTTGCTTTCTTTGGCCTTTTCTTTCGCTTCTTTGCTGATAGGTTACCTTTTTCCTTTGTCCAGTATCCTTGAGACTTCAGTCTTCTACCGCCGCTATGGCAGTGTCTATTGTCTAATGACAAGTAATGATGACTCCGAAGCTGAAGCTCGAAGTCCAGGCCTAGGACTAGTAAGAGTTCCTACCGGATCGTCGTGCTGTCCGTGTAGGTAAGTGCTGAAGTAACTAGTTTGTGCCGATATGGAAATTTCGGCCTTTTCGGCCGCCAATGCTGATGGCGACGCTGCGATGGTTCCGTGGGTTTGCAAGCACCGACGAGTGCCTTGTTTCATGCCCCGAGTCACGATTTCCCTGTTGGGTCAGGGCGGCCTTCACGAGTTCGGCAGGCTCTTTCGAGTGCCTTGCCAAGGCTCTGCGCTTAGCGCGTAGCAACATCAACAGACGGCTTACGTCACGTCATTGGGCAGGCCCTGACGAGTGCCTTGCCAATCTATGTACCTACAAGTCACTGGTATCCAACCCCAATCGATGGACGACGCGGACATGGCGGATATGCGGCGGCTTCTGTCACGACAGTGGGCAGGCCCTGTCGCGTGTCTTGCCACACTCAAACCATCCGTCCACTGTCGATGGACGACGGTCTCACCAGTGGGCAGGCCCTGTCGCGTGCCTTGCCACACTCTAGCCATCCATCCACTGTCGATGGACGATGGTCACACCACTGGGCGGGCCATGTCGTGTGCCTTGCCGCACTCTAACCATACGTCAATTGTCCATGGACGATAGTCTACAGTGAGCAGGCCCTGTCGCGTGCCTTGCCACACTCTAGCCACTCTAACCATCCATCCACTGCGGATGGACGATGGTCGAACCAGTGGGCAGGCCCTGTCGCGTGCCTTGCTACACTCTAACCATCCGTCCACTGTCGATGGACGATGGTCTCTACAGTGGGCAGGCCCTGTCGCGTGCCTTGCCGCACTCTAACCACTCTATCCACTATCCATGGACGATGGTCTCGTGGGTTTGCAAGCACCAGCGAGTGCTTTGTTTCTTGCCCTGAGTCGTGCCTTCCTGGTGTGGTGAGGGCAATTTCATGAAAAGCAGGAGTGCCTTTCCAATGTCTGTGCCTAACTCGCATCCACCCATGTCGGTGGACTGTGCGGTCATTGTAGATATGGTGGCTTCCGTCACGCCAGTGGGCAGGCCCTGTCGGGGGCCTTGCCACATTCTAACCATTAGTCCATTGGTGATGAACGATGGTCTCGTGGCTTTGCAAGCACCGGCGAGTGCTTTGTTTCATGCCCAGAGTCACGCCCATAACTTAATGCCGTTCTGCCATGCTCATATTGTTGTTTCGCAAGTACAGTTCTACCTGTGTTTGCTTGCTCCTATACCAAGCAGAATCCCGTATTGACCGGGAAATGTTCCTGCACCAAAGGGCTGTGGATCGAACGTACATCCCTGTGTCAAGCGGAATAATGTCATATCAGACCAATTTCCGCTGCACCACGGGCGTCCGGTTAAGACAGGTTTACCTGTATGTAGATACATGGTTCTGGAAGCATAATCACGATGTCAGAGGTGGCTGATGCACCTCTATGAGCAATGAAAAATATACATCAAATGGTTGCCATTTGTGCAGTGCCAACAATGTACTGCCACTCCTATTGCTCAAGCACCTTTTGTGATAGCAACCTCGAAGTGGTGAAGCATATAACACTTTTGCTGTTGCCATACCTCAGTCTGACCTTCGGTGGCTGGAGCACGTACGGACACGGGCGCTCCAGCTATCTGCTGAGCGTAGTGCCAAGAGTGCAATGTCATGTACACTTGCCTTTGTGTACGCTATGACTTGTGGTATACTGCCTTCCACTACTCAAGTTAGTGCCCACCTCGGGTACCGCGAGGGACCACCCCCTTTTTTGGTCTGGCCAGCCAAGGCCTTGCACGATTACTGCCGCATCCATAACTGGGATCAATTCATTGCCCATATGATATGTGCATATCAGCGCGGCCCTTTCCGTGCAACGGCAGGTCCAAGTAACCATATCTGTAATTTACTACTGTGGATAGCATTTCATCGTACGTATCCTGGAATATCTACGCACCCAGAAGGAATCTACTTACCGGTATATTATAGCTAGCAACCATAGCTAGCAACCAGATCAGTCTCGTACTGTTTAGTACTGATATGGCGGATACGCCGGTACTGCATGCACGTGTGCCTTGTGCCCGACCCACGATGTACCAGGCTTTCGTTACCAACAAGGGCTTGGCAGACGAGCTGAAGCAGCTGGATGCATGTCGTGCCAATCCCGTAATGGTGCAGCCATGAATGGTCCACACTACCAGCCTGCTAGGCTGTCGGTGGCCTTTCACGGTGTGCCTTACTTGGTATGCTTACGAGTACAGTTGCATAAATGTACTTCAAGTATAAAATATATACAGAACAGGTATATACACAACACGCACAAGGAGGTCTTAGAGTTTGTTGCAACTCTAAGTTCCTTACTCAATGAAATCATCATAGTGCTCCGCATCGTGTTGAGCCCTCTACCCTGGCGAAAAGACGCCTCTTTGTAAACAAATATACAGTTATGTATATTGTATAGAAAACTGCTTTCCTAGCGCAGAAGGAAATCAGTGAATATGTGATGTCTTTGTGTTCTCACCGTCGAGGAAGAACTTGATGACCTACATGTACATTCACCATTGTCTTGCCGTAGACGTCCTGTGCACTCCCAAGGTCCATGACCATGTTGTGCAATAGCTGAGTAAGCCATACATATACCTGAGATCTACGGATATAAACTATGTCCAGTTCAAATGACCATCCAAGCAGCCATTGGCTCCGCATCCTGCGTCATCTCTACCATCGGTGAGCACCCGAATATGACGATTATATCACCACAGGTCCCTGCAAGCTGCAGACCCGGTACGGCCACTGACGATGTTGCCAGCCTCATGGAGGCAATGTGCTATTTGGCCATGCAGGACATGTGTCACTCGACCGGCATCCATCCGGCCATCCGGAAGTGGCTGGCGGTACACATGTCTACCGTTCGGCATGTGTTATTCACTCCGCACATGCACCAAGTGTCTGCATCGATCGTCTGCATTTTCCGGACATGGGCGGTGAAGGTAGTGATGTGCATTGCCACCTGCCTCATTATTGTGTGCGGTCTGGTTGCGGCACACCATAGTGCAAGCAACGATCCGCCTCCTGGAGCATCTTGAGCTCCAAGTAAACCTGCACAAGTCCGGCTTGTAGCTGGTGCAGTCCCTGGAATGTATGAGGCTCACCATCTCTACCATCACCAAGCCACTTGAGGCGCCTGAACGTGAAGTGTCCGGAATTGAGGAAGGCGTTCCCGCTAGTCCAGCTTCACAGTCGATCAATTCATTACAGTATAGTGCTTGCAGGATAGAGCTCCACAGCCTTGGCTGTGCAACCTCGATATATGGTCTCGTGATTCAATTGACAAGTCTCCATTACTGGGTCTGTCACTTTTCAGTCGGGGATGGCCAGCTAGTCACCTCACAGGTGCCATCGCTGCGCTACGAGAGCCCGTCAGTTCAGGACCCATGCACAGCAGCCACCCATAACCACATGACTCTGCAGGAGTTAAACTCCATTCATCTACTGCTTGTGGGTGGAGTGCCTTGGTCTGCAAGCCCCAGTGCATGGCATAACTGGAGTACCTTTGCATGTCGAGATTGATCATGTGATGGCTGTTGCTTACGTATCCAAGGAAAGAAACATTGGATAACTATGTGTCTGTTAGCGCTACCAAGAGTACATAACTATTACTATTGGCGCGACCCCGCTGGCTCCACCTAGTCGCCGTCAATGTTCGGGACATCGTCCACGACCCACACGACCGTCACGGTTTGCAGACAGCTGCAACTGCCTGTTGGACAGGTAGGTCCTTACACCATGTACACAGTTACATCATTGGTACAGACCACTTGCCCGATTTGTGGCCAGCCATACCCGCTACCTGGACCAGTATGTGAGTTAGCGCTCAGATCCTGAGGCCGAGGGCCAGGCTTCCTTGGACCTTCCGGCAGACCAGACCAGTGGGAGAATGCACTTCTGCACCCTCCATTCTGCCTCATCCTGATGGTTGGCGCTATTCACCACATATAGCAAGTGCTGTTGGTGGGTCCGGTCTGGAGTTCATCGCAGTCGGACCAACTCCTTAGCCACCCAGTGCGATGTAGGGAGGCAGTATAGACCAATTACCTATGCATCTTTCTCCTCTCTCGTCGACACTTCAGCTACGTGTTCAGGGCC